GGGGCGGGTGCCAGCGCCCCCGGGGCGGCGCGAACTCGTAGTTCGGATGGGCGACGGGGCGGGAAAAACGCGCCTGCAATGAGGAAATGGAAGCCGTTTGGTCCCGGAGGGGCAGGGGACTTATTCTTTTTCAGGATGGAGATTGTATGCGGCGCCCTCTGTTGATTTGCGCCCCTAAGAGGTGCGATCTACGATGTGCAATGTATGTGATGCAATCTAGGTAGTGCAATTCACTCTGTCGAATTTGAAGTCGGCCGCTGCTCGCGCAATCATCTCATCCGCCCGCTCGCGCATTGGCTTGCAGAACCCGCGCGGCGGCGATTGCGATGGCAGCTCGGCGCTTGCTGGCGCGTCGCCGAGGCCGCGCCAGCTCGCGCGCTCGCGCGCGCAGCTGCCGGCCAGCATGTTGCGACCGACGCGGCCGCGGCGGCGCTGACTGCCGGGCACTTCCCAGCGGGCGCATCAGTGCGAGTCGGCATTCTGGGCGGGCGCGGCATCGTGGCCACGTCGATGGCGGTTGACGCGGCGACGATGCTAGCGGCGTGGGCGACGACGAGCACGGTGGCGACGGCGCGGCCAGTAGCGGCGCCGATGCTTGATCGCGCCAGCGGCGACGACGGCGTCTTCGCGCCGGCGATGGAAAGTTCGGGGAGGGAGGAATTCGGCATGCGCGCGCGGACGACGCGCGAGAGTGGCCCGCGCGGCATAATTTGACGCGGATCGCGCCCCCCCCCCCCCCCAGCACGCGCGCAAAGGCGCTCGCGCGATTTCGACGCGCGGCGCGGAGCCCCGCTTGGCAGACGTTCGTAAAACGATTGCCAACGCAGGGTCATTTGAGGAATTCGCGAAGCCGCGAGCGCGGGTTTTTTTGGCCGGTAGAAAATGGCACATGAGAACCCATAGTTTTTAAGCAAGCGAGCGCGCGCGCGCAGTTTTTGGGCAGAGGATGAGGGGCGGGGCGGCGCCGGCTTGGCCGGGGCGATTTGAGCCCCTATAGGGCGGGCGATGGAGCAGAAACAATTGCAATTTGCAATGCGAAAAGGAGCGCCGTCAAGTCTGGGAAGGGGGGGGTCCGCGCGCGGTCCCTATCGTTCTTCGCGAAAGGAGAGTCTAAGTACGTGCAGCTTTCGATGCGGCGCAATCGTTGTTGCCCAAGCCATGGTGTGCGATCTGTGTTTTGCCGGCTACGTCGCGGGATCTATGCCGCGCGTGCGTTTATATGTGGGCAGTTAGTTGTCAGCCCCGCTGCTCTCGCAATCGTCTCGCCCGCCCGCCCGCGGCTGGGTCTGCGTCCGCCCGTGCGGCATCGATTGCGACCGGCGTCTGGTGGCGGCTGGCGCATCTCTGCGGCCGCGATGGCGAGCGCGTTCTCGCGCGCGAAGCGGCGGGCTAGTTTGGCGCGACAGTCGCGGCCGCGGCGGCGCTGGCCGCCCAGCGCTTCTCAGCGGGCACCCAGCTCGAGTCGGCGACCTGGGCGGGCGCGGCGTCGCGGCAACGGCGGCGGCGGGCGCGAGGGCGACGGCGGCGACGCCGGCGGCGATCATGACAACGACGACGGCGCGGCCAGCGACGTCGCCGTTGCCGATCACGCCGACGGCGATGGCAGCGTCGTCGCATCGGCGACGCAAGTATTAGAAGGCAGTCGAGATGCGCGCGCGAGGGCGCCCGAATGATTTCGACGCGCGGGGAGAGTGGCCCGATTCATCGAATGGAGGTTTTGAAAATCGCAGAAATCGCAGGTCGTTCTCAAGGACTCGAGCGCAGTTTGGGCTCGAAAACTGGCGCTGCAAAGCAATTTGTTTTTTATGTGTTGTCGGGGCACTCGATCCCGGAATCCGCGAGGACCTTCAAGTTCCAGAAAGTTTTCGGCGCGCGCGACGACGCGCGCGAGTGCGCCTCGCCGCGTTTTTCGCTTGGGATTATTGCGGCAGCGCGCGATGGGGCGGTCGATATCTCGACGCGCGCGCGAGAGAGGCCTTCTGGCGTAAGTTTATCAACGCGCAGAAACACCCGTGGGTTCCCGTTGAATTCGCATGGGCGCGGGCGCGAGTTCTCTGCGCATTCCCGTTGCGAAGCCATATGCTTGCTAGCGTGTTTTCGGGGCGCGCGATATCGAAATCCGCGCGCAACCAACGGTTCTTCGAGGTTTTAGGCGCGCGAGCGCGTGCACTTCGCCCATTTCTGTTGCTCGGGGTTCTGGACAATTTCTGATTTTTGATCGGAGTGCGCGCGTGTTGTTGTTGTTGTTGCTGTTTTTTTTTTGCAGGGGGTGATGGGGGGGGGTGGGGGGGCGGGCGCTGCCCTGCCTGGGAGAGAACGAACCCAGGTTTAGGATGGACGATGGGGCGGGATCGCACGTAAATAACACCGCGAAGAAGGGCGCGGGGAGAGGGGGGGAGAGCGGGGGGGGGATAGATCATATTCTCGTAGAAGGTAGTTCACCCTGCAGAAGATGAAGTCGCCAATTCCATTGCGCCATCATCCCACCAGCGCGCCCGCAATGTGGTTTTTCAAAAGCCCATGCGGCAGCGATTGCGATGGCTGCTCTGCGCTGGTTAGCGCGTCGCCACGGCCGCGCTAGCGCGCGCGCGCGCTGCGCTGACCGCTGGGCACTTCCAGCGGGCGCTCCACTGCGAGTCGGCAGCTTGGGCTTGCACGGCATCATGGCAACGTCGACAACGGTAGACGCGGCGATGGTTGTGGCGATGCTGGCGATGAAGGTGACGACGACGACGACGGCAAGGCCAATGACGGCGCCGATGCTGATCGCGCTGGCGGCGGTGGCGGTGTCCTCGCGTCGGTGATGAAAGGTTATGGATGGATACCAACATGCGCGCGCGGCCGACGCGCGAGAGCGGTCCGCGCGACATCGGTTAACGCGGATCGCGCGCAAGGGCGTTCGAATGATCTCGACGTGTGGCGCGAACAGGCTTTCTCGTCAGAAATTAATGAATATGTTGGAAACTCGTGGTTGTTTTGAGACTCCGTAAGGGTGCGGGCGCCGGCAATTTGCAAAACTGATGTTGCCGAGCCATACATTTTCCCAGGCGCACTCGAAACTTCGTTTTTTGAAGGATGGTGGCGCGCGCGCGCGCGACGGCGCGACGACGCGCGCGCGCATGCCGCCCCGTTTTTTGAAAGGGGGTTTTGGTGACGGCGCGCGCACAAGGGCGTTCGGGCGATATCGACATGTTCACGCGAAAGGCGCGTTTGATGGTTTTTGATGGTGCGTCGTGCGTCGCGCAATTCACGTGCATCGATATGTGTTATGATTTCCATGTGGTGCAAATGTTGGTTTGCTTTCCATGTGGCGCGCTCTGCGAGGTGCAATTCACGTTGTGCACGCTACGTGATGCATTCAATGTTGTGCAACCTATGTGGTGCAATCTTCGCTGTGCTATATAGATGGTGTATTCGATGTTGTTCACTACGTGTTGTGAACGATCAAGAAGCGCACCGCGGGCGCGATGTTTCCCGTGCGTTCTACGTTGCGCAGTCCAACGGCGGCGACGGGCGGCGACGAGGCGGCGACTTGGCGGCGACGGCCGGCACGGAGCCGCCAGACCGCCAACACGGCTCAGGCCACAAGCGGCGACGAGGCGGTGACAGGGCGGCGACGGCCGGCATGGTGCCGTTCGACCGCCTACACGACCCAATTATTTTGCACACGTGCTATTGCATTCAAGCGCAAGCACATCTAGGAAACAATAAATCTATGTAGTTATACTTATACACATATCAACACATATTGACCATCACATATGTATGTTTGCATGTATGTGCGTATGTATGTGTGCGTGTATGTATGTATGTGTTCATAGGTATGTGTATGTGTAAATGTATAGATATAGCCATGCAAGTGTATGATTACGTATGTGTATGAGTATGCGTATGTGGATATGGATATGTGTATGCATATGTGTGGTTGTAGACATATACGCATATGCGCCGTACATGTATTTACATATATGTATGTTATGTGTATGCATATGTAGTCTCACTTGTAGATGTGTACATACGTATTTATGTATGCATGTATGCATGTGTTCATGCATGCCTGCATGTACGTATGTATGTATGTGTGCATGTATGGATTGATCTATGCATGTGTGTATAGCTGTATACATGAATATATTGGTTTGCGATATACACATAGTTATAGACATCAGTATACATTAATCTACGTATATATACACACCCATGCAAACATGTATACATATACGTATACTTACACGCGGGTCCCAAGTGGAACAGCCAGCTGGTCGCACCCTGGCGGGCCCAGGCGTTGCGTGCCGCTGTCAACGCGTGCCTGGGGACGCGCCGTCTTGCTGCCGCCCTCGTCTAGTAACACGCCCGCTTGGGGTCATGGCGCCTCCTTGGACTCGCCATGGAGAGAAGATGAGGGAAACGTGTCCCGGGTTTTTGCGCCGTTCCCGGGCTCTCGGGACCCTCCCCAAGTCTTGGGAATGTCAAACAAATATTCAGGATGAAGATTCGGTTCAGGGAAAGGCCCCAGAGTCCAGGATCCGGCTCCTTCTTGCCAGCTGAACCGCTTAGGCCCAGACCGATCCGTTCGCCGTGCGGCTTCCGTTCCCTTGCCTCCGCGTTCTTCTAGTGCTCCCCCTTCTGCACTTTGAGGCGCAATCGGATGCGTGTTTCCGCTATTTAGCTGTGTCACCCCCGAGCGTTCTTTCCTGTCAGCCGTTGCGTGGTTTCGGCCCGCTGGCGAGCAAAAAATCTCAGACTGTGGGGTGGGTGTGGGGTTGCGTGGGGTGGGGGTGCGTCGTGAGTTGAATCCAGCCATCTAACCAGCGTGACCAAACTCCGAGTGCCTGCCTCGTCGCCGAGCGCCTCGCGCTCGGGCATCTTGACGCTCAGCAGAGAGCTGCGAGGAAAAGTGTCCTCGATGGTGGCCTTAGCATAGGGGGCTGTCTTTGGGCCTGGCCAAACAAGTGTTTCCAGCCGCGCAGTTGTTCACAGGACACAGCCCTCGCCCGCTGTGGCTCGAGATGTGTGCCCGAGAGCGAGGGGCTTTGCCGCGTGCCGTTCACGCGTGGCTGGCGATCCAGATTATAGCTCCGCGAGCTCACATCGAAGAACAGAAAAAAAGGCATACACATAGTTTCTCGGAGGTCAGCGTGGATCTTTTGGATCGGCGCTTGGCGGCGCCGGAGGCTCCGCCAGGGGCTCCTCCCCTATCAACACCTGTGGGTCCGCCCCTGGCGAGCTTCACGCGCTAGTGAGCGGCGTCCAGCGCCAATCCAAGAAATCCGCGCGGATCTCCGAGACATTATGATTATGCAGCTTTTGTTCTAGTTCCGCGAGCTCAGAGTGTCCAGAAATTGCGGTCCGAATGAACCCCCCCGCCTCCTTGACAGTGTTTGCTCGCAGGCAGTCGGCAGACTCCGGTGCTGACTCCGATGCGTACGATGCGCCTCTTGTGGAGAAGCGCGCCGAGTCACAGTCTGGCGGGCCATACGTGCTTGGATGCTTGCCGTTTTTCGTGGTGGACATCTTGAAGATGAAGGACGCAGAGAAGAATTGTCCGCGTTCACATTGCATCGGTCCCGTCATCAAGCTAGCAATGTGGTGCCCGCTCGTGCACTCATTTGTGATGTTCTGTTTCATGGGGGTAGGTCTCCTGCACATGTCGTGCCAGAACAAGAACGGGGGACCACTTAGCAAGCCCAAGATTTCGTATCCACCATGGTGGTTCTTGCCGGCCGGGGCCAGCTGCATCGCCCTGATGTTGCTCGAGGTGTACATCGCGAAGTATTCGAGCATCTCGTACACCGACAAAGCCAGCAAGCAGTTTGCAAAAAAACACGAGAACGAGAAGCGCCCAATAGGGCTTAGCCACTGCCCAGATTGCCGCATCCAAAAGGAATCGACGCCAGGAGGCCCGTTGTCTGATCCCGAGGCCGAAGGTGTACTTGAGTGCCGCCACTGCGGGAAAGCGTTAAAGCAGGGCCGTCTCCCAGTAGGATGGCCATGCATGCCCGTCACTGTGATCGACGCCTTGCTGTCCCGCTGCTGCTTCTCTGGAGTCTCAAATGAGAAACATATTCCCATACTGCTGCTCGACCAGGAGAGCCATCGTAACACCGACTGGATTCGGCTCGAAATTCTGGTCAGAACGCACCCTGGGGGAGGTCCGCCAAGTAGCAGTATCGGTATCTTCTCGTTTCTCCAGGAGTCCGCGCCAGGTGGCACGAAGAGCAGGAGAAGTTGTACTTCAACGTGTGGTTCCTCTGGCTCTTCGTACTGGGGACGATAACCGTGTACGGGCGGCTCCAGGCGAACACCTTCCTGGGGATGGTCCTCTACGGCTTCCTGACTGGCAACCGCGCCGAGGCCACGGACCACATCTGGAAAGAGACGTTGAGCCAGTCGTATTTCATACGACACTTCCACTTCCCGCTCGAGGTTCTCGGGCGAGTAAGGGACAATTGCAACCGGTAGGTTGAGGGAACTGTCACTGGCGCCTCCCATGGCCGACCTCGCGCCCCCAGCGCTGATGGCGCGGCATTCGAAAACAGGCGCCGCGTGCATGTCATCAGCGCTGGGGTCGGGATCGTCGTTCGGAGGGCGCCAGGGCTTGGGTGGCGCCAGGGGTTGCAGAAAAACATGTACAAGCACAAACTTCTGGAGAAGCGGCTCCGTTCAACTCGGCCCGCTTCTCCACAAGAGGCGCATCGTACGCATCGGAGTCAGCACTAGAGTCTGCCGACTGCCTGCGAGCAAAAACTGTCAAGGAGGCGAAGGTGTCCATTCGGACCGCAATTTCTGGACACTGAGCCCGCAGAACTAGAACAACAACAAATTACATCAACACACGGTCGGAATGAGGTATAGGATCGAGGTAGGTTAGAGCACAGTGTTGCCCCGCCTCCCTCTCCTGCCCCTTCTCCTCCTCCTCCTCCTCCTCCTCCTCCTCCTCCTCCTCGGTCGGTCGGTCGGTCGGTCGGTCGGTCGGTCGTGGCGCAAGAGAGGTCGAAGTGCATGGATAGAGAGCAGAGAGAGAGCCCAATGAGTGAAGAACAATGGGGGCAACAGCAGGGGCAGGAACGCAGGGGACCTGCCAGCTAGAGAGCTGGGTACGATCGCTAAAGTGGATGGGCACTAAGGGTTGGAAAATGGAATGAGAGCCGAGGATAGAAAAATAATGAAGATCTTACACAGGCTAGAACTGTTACTCCCCTGACGGGGACAGCCAGACCCTATGTGGCCCCCTGGCATCACACAGAGGATACTGACTAAGGTTGGCGCTACCGCGAGGATCTGATGTGATCCTGGCATCTCCTTCCCCCCTGTGCCCTTCACGATTCATCACCTAATGCCTCAAGCTCTGCAACTCCAGGCGAAGAAAGAGAAAGAGAAGAGGAGTGCTCACCGTTGTGGTTAGCTGTGCGATGCCCGTTCCTGATATGGAGCATACATTCCATAGAAATTCCCGTCGCAAGGTGTGGATCCCAGGGGGAAGCAAATCGTCGCAATCCATACGGCAGGTCCTAGCCGTCGTCCGTCGGGGCAAGTTGGAGAAGCCTTCCGAGAGATCACTCATCACTTCTGCACCAAAGGGGGCGAGGGCGAACCAAATCCTCAAAGGAAACACGCGGCGGAGGGCAATCCACGCTTGGCCAGCAATAACTCCCCCAGCGACCCCAGATGGACCCCAAGGAGCCCCGTGGGCTTCAGATGAGGAGAGCCAAACACGCACTGGTCAATCCGATGAAGGCAAACATTGGGGAGGGCCTTTAAGCGGACCAACTCTGGCAGGTCCCAAGAAGAGGGGGCCTCAGGCACACGAGGGTGCTTGGCAGGGTGCTTCATGAGAGCTGGTACGCAATTTATCCACGCCTCATACAACATCCGAATGGTGGTTCTGAGCAGCCTATTGCCGACGGCGGGTTGTGCCGCCTCCCGCTCTCTGAGATGACTTGGTCCCCAGATCGAGCCGGGAGTCCTCATGGGCTTAGGAGGACGGGCCCCGCCAGGGGCCTCAGGGGGCACAGGGAGAAATCTGGCCGACGACCACGTCTCGCACGGCGGACCCGCAACCGCAGCAGCAACCCGTCCCGAGCGGAGAAGGAGGACTCACAAGAGAACAGTTTCATCATTGGTCAAATCTCCATGGACAGCGTGTTTCTCGCCACGTCGGTACTGAGAACGGTGAGATGTGTTGGAAACTGCTGCAGCGAGCAAGACTTCCATATGCCACTGCAGGTCCCCTTGTCTCCTATGTCCTGAGAAGAGATGAAGGACGCGTATGGAAGAGCGGATGGGTAGGGGGCGAGGGGAGAAGGTAGGAAGCACAGGGGCAGGAGCGGGAGGGGTCGGCACAATGTCCAACATGGCGCGAACCTGACTCCTGGCGACCTTGATCTAAGGTCCAACTGGGGGGCCATACCATTGGATGGGCGGGCGTTCAGCAAAATGGTCTGGCCCACCCTTCGCTCGGTTCTCAGATGTGATGGCTCTGCATTGGCCCCTCGCCTCCATCACCTCCTCTTCCCTCGGTCGCATGCGGGAATGTGCCCAAGTGAAGCGGCAGGAGGGGGAATTGCGAACATGCTGGGCTAGGCGAGGTTGGACATGGAAGTCCTTTAAACACACATGAGAAATCGAGCCAGCTGCCAGCGTCGTTGGAGCATCATTGCGCTTGTGTGCCTTACTCATGTGGGCCCGAAACTGCTGTCCACTGGGACAAATAAATGGGCACTGTTCACACTGAAAAAAGGGGAGTACGGGGGCAGAGACCTGCAGGGGGGTGTCACACGCACACTTATTAAGCTCCCTTCTCCATGCTTCACAATGATGTGTGTCAAGAGCTGCCCTCTTGGCCCTGACAGTTGCTGACGCCACAAGTGCCTTGAACGCTCTAGGATGGTCGCACACAAGTGAAATATCCCCTTTACCGAAACGTCCTCGGGCCTCTTGTCGGGTTCCGTATGATAGCATAGCCGAGCAACATCCCAGACCAGCTAGGTAGCCAAACAAAGCGCGTATTCCAAAGTAATTCCATAGAGCCCGAACCAAAGGGGGGGGGGGCTAAACACATCAAGCGTAGCATATAGCGGAGGCGGGCCACAGTCATGACTACCGCACAGGTGAGCCTCTCGGCCTGGAGCATAATTTGCGCCGAGCTGACATGCTGCTCAGAATTGATGGTGGACAAGAGGTTGAGCGCCGTGCGACGCACCGCCATATGTGCAATGACCATCTTTTTCTCCTGAGCACTGGTGATCCCGAGCCAAGCATCCACCGCGTAGTATGACCGAGGAGCTCAGGGCCTTCGCAAAGGCAATTGTGGCCCCGAGGGACAGATGAGGCCGAGGGGCCATTGTGGCTTCGATGGGCCTGAGGGCCCCCCCAAGCCTTGGCGACGCGGGCGTTGACTTCAAGGACAAGGGAACCAGGCGAGGTAACCTGAGCCCCGAGAATCTTATGAGTGAAAATCGCTAGCCGAACTTGAAGTTGTCAACTCCACTGCTCACGCAATCATCCCACCCACCCACCCGCAACTTGGTTTGCAAAGCCCATGCGGGAACGAACGCGATGAGTGCTGAGTGTTGGCTGGTACATATTTGCGGCCGCGCGAGCCCGCAACGCCTGCGACGACACCGACGACGTCTCCAACGACTTCGACGACGCCGACAACGACGACGACGACGATGACGACACCGACGACGACGACGACGACGACGACGCCAACGCCGACGACGACGACGATGACAACGACGACGATGACGACGCCGACGACGACGACAACGACGACACCGACGACGACGACGACGACGACGACGTCAACGACGCCGACGACGACGACGACGACGGCGGCGACGACGACGACGCCGACGTCGACGACGACGAAGACGACGACGACGCCGACGCGGACGACGACGAAGAAGACGAAGACGACGACGACGTCGCCAACGAAGACGACGACGAGGGAGGAGGGAGGACGACGACGCCGACAACGACGACAACGTCGAGGGAGGAGGGAGGACGGCGTCGACGCGAACGACGAAGAAAGAGTAAGGACGGCGACGCCGACGACGACAACGACGAGGGAGGAGGGAAGACGACGACGAGGACAACGACGACGACGACGACGGCGACGAAATAGGAGGGACGACGACGAGACGCCGACGACGCACGACGACGACGACGAGGGAGGAGGAGGAACGACGACCACGGCGACAACGACGACGGAAACGACCACGACGCCAAAGAGGACGACGACGACGAACACGAGGAAAGACAGAGGACGACGTAGGCGACGACGCCGACGACGACGCGGGAGGAGGGAGGACGGCGACGACGACGACGACGACGACGACGACGACGCAAGAGCGTGCGCGCTCGCTTTTGTTGAAAATCCGTGTTGCGAAGCCTTGTTTTTTGTAGGTTTTTTGGACACGCGATTTTGAACTCCTTCCGAAACCGAAGGGTTTTGGAGGATTTCGGCATACTCGCGCGACGACGCGCGCGTCTGCACTTCGTTTTTTGTTTGCAAAGACTTCTCGCGACGGCACACGCGCATAGGCGTTCGACAAATTTCGACATGCGCGCGCGAAGCCCGTTTAAAAGCATGTTGTGAAAATCTTGAAAACAACATGTGGTTTTCTTAAGCTTTCGCAACAGCTTGCGCGTAAGCTTTTTTAGCAAATCACTGTTGCGAAAACATGTGTTTTTCTTATGCTTTTTATACTCGATTGCAGAAAACCCTTCCGACACCCAAGGCTTTTGAAGGATTTCGGCATGCGCGCGCGACGACGCGCACGTGCTCAGTGCGTCTCGTTTTTGGCAAGGGAATCGCGAACAAATCTTATGTTAGAACACATGATTTCCCCGCGTATCGTTTTTTTGTACAAGGGAACCTCAGGGGGCCGATACCGGTTCCCCTGGGATGGTGTACATTCATATATATATATATATAGGATGGACATGTGGTCATAATCATATATGATTTACCCGAAAGGGGGGCGGATAACGCCGGGGGGTGGTAAAGTCTGTTCTGTGTTTAGAAATGAGAAGCAGTGGGAAACTTGAAGCCCCATTGAGCAGAGGAGACGCTATAACCCGAACGATCAGCAAGCCCAGGAACCCTGCAGGAGCCCGCACTTATGATGGTAACGAGAACCTTCGATTTGGCGATGTTAAGGCGCAAGCCTAGGGACGACGAGGCAACGCATACTGATCCGGAAAGAGCGAGAGCGACGGCAGGGAGCCGACGCGGGTGCTTAACCAAGGCAAGTATAATGAAGTCAGCAAAAAAGGAAAGATCACATTGAGCATCCATCCGATCCTGGCCCACTGCACAATGCAGCGCAGGTCGAGAAAACACGCCCCTAACTCCGCAGCCAGGCGGTTTGATCCTGGATCTGAGTTCCCGAAGGACCGCGGCAAAAAAACAAATAGAGC